GAATTTTCTTCGCCTCCATCCCCTCTGAGAAGTCGTCCCTCAGTGCCGCACCCCCACCCTGAGATCACCTCCCATCCTGCGCACCCCCATTGTACCCTGTGGCTGGCTGTATTACTGTCCTTAGCATGTTGTGTTATCATGATCCTTTTGCATCTGTCTTAATACAAAAGGGGACTTTGTTTTATTAATTTCGGCCTCCCCGGTGCCCAGTGTAGTGCGTGGCACATAAAGCTTAATGAATGATCATTAAATGAATAAATTCACAGAAGAATGTGTAAATTAGGACTATATTAAGGACCATTTTGCTTCGTAGACAAATATTCAAGGGGTTTCTACTGCTCTTAGCATGGCAGTCCAGTCGCTTGGATGGATCCAGTGGTGAAATAGCTTTTTTAGATAAACCTGGGAAACGTGCCATCATTTGTAATGCTGTTTCCATGAGAAAAAATGAAATTCGTTTTGTGCTTTCAAGAGCCAACTTCTGGGTGAATCCCTAGAGCACAGTGTCAAGTAGTTCCTCCTTATCGGAGGTTTCCCTTTATGCAGTTTTGGTGACTCATGTTCCCTCTGGTCTGGAAGCAGATGAGCCTCCTCCTGACACAGTGCTAGAAGATCAGTGGTAGCCTAATAGCACGTCCCAGTGCCTGCGTCGCTCACCTCCTGTCGGCATTTCCTTGTCTTAGGTCATCACGAGAAGAGTGAGTGAGGACAGGGGCGCCTGGCTGGCTCAGTCGGTGGAACCTGGGACTCTTAATCTCATGGCTGGGTCGTGAGTTCCGGCCCCACGTTGGGTGTAGAGATTACTTAAATGCTTAAAAAAAAAAAAAAAAGTGAGCCCAGGATAATATATTTTGAGAGAGAGACCACACTCACCTAACTTTTATTATGTTGTTATAATTGTTCTACTTTATTGTTAGTGATTGTTAATCTGACTGAGCCTAATTTAGAAAGTAAACTTTATCATAAGTAAGTGTATGTAGGAAAAACACAGTATATATAGGGTTCGGTCCTATCTCTAGTTTCAGGCATCCACTGGGTTGTGTTGGAACATCTCCCCTGCAGATGAGACAGGGTTATGATATTACTGATTTAAGGACTGCCTCTACTTTCCAAAATGCCCCTTGCTGAGTCCTTAGTATTCCTTTTTTAACTTCTTTTTTCTTTTTTTAAGACTTTATTTATTTATTTGACACAGAGAGACACAGCGAGAGAGGGAACACAAGCAGGGGGAGTGGGAGAGGGAGAAGCAGGCTTCCCGCGGAGCAGGGAGCCCGACGCGGGGCTCGATCCCAGGACCCTGGGACCATGACCTGAGCCAAAGGCAGACGCTTAATGACGGAGCCACCCAGGCGTCCTTCCTTTTTTAACTTCTACCAATGATTTGACTGAGTCATCCAGGAAAAGTTCTTTCCAAAAGTTTCAGTTAAGCAAAGAGAATGCTTCCCTTTTACCCCTTAAAAGGTAAATTCCATGAGCTGAGTCTGGATCTACCCCATTTCAGGCCTTTTCCCAAAATGAACATTTAATTTGTTTTCCTGATTTCAGCAGTCAATGGGACGGATCCTTCAGTCAGCGTTTGAAACCATGGCTCACACTGGCATGGCGCCTGCCATGTGCCAGGCACGGCCTACCTGTTACTATTATTCAGCATCCCTTGCTTCTTCCCAGGAGCCCCGTAAAAGCCACGGCTGATCCTGCATTGAAGTAAAAAAAAAAACGAAATTTAAGAAAGAGGCTAAATGTGAGGGCAAAACTTTCCTCACCCTATCCAGAATGGTGCCAGTGGTTTCCTTTTCCCAGCCTCTAACCAAAGCGAAAAATGATACAAATGCCCTGGAACCCACTCCACTGGGAAGGCCCTGGAGAAGCCACGGCCCGCCGAGGGATGCTCTGGCGGCCACACCCCCGGCAGCGGAGCCTGAGCACTGCAGTGAGCCAGCTCCCTGCACTAGCACCGGGCTCTCAGAAGGAGTTAATGGTGCAGGACAGGGCCACCGTGATAAAATGTGGAACGGGGCTGCCGGGGTCCCAGGGTACTGTTTGGGGAAAGAATTTCCATGTAAAAGATTTAAGTAGGTTGAGCAAGAATTGAAAACAAAGGATTCTGGCTGGAGAGGTAGGGAAACAGGAATGGAGTTTATAGAAAGATCGTAGATCAGTTCATTCTTTCTCCCTGGTACTTGTTGGTTAAGAGAAGGCACGGAACATCTTTGGTCTGAAAAAAATTCAGGAGCTTGTCCTGCTGTTGAGAGGTCAGCGAGTCAAATGCTGAGCTCTGCAAACTCTCAGCTCCCCACCCTCAGAGGACTTAATGAGCATGGAGTAACTTGCACTTTGTGTGTCTGTAGAAGTTCATGGCTTGCTTTTAAGTAAGAGCAAGGGAGTAATGAACTGAAAGCTTGTTTACTTTATAAACAGACAACCAGCAAGGGAGAGCTACTTCGAGAATGATTTTGGTAACACAGCTGTGTGTCTGATGCATGGGAAATCAACCCTCCAGCTCACAAGTATTTGAAAAAAGAATTTACTTATCCAAGGAAAGGACAATCACATTTTCTCAAATGCCAGTGCTAATTTTAGGAGGCTATATGCTTTGGATCCATACCAGATTTTCGTGTGAGGAACTGTCTCTGTTCGATAAATGAAGATGGAGAGTCACAGAATATAAAGATTTGGTCATTTTCGTTTTTTGGGTTTGTTTTTCTTTTTTAAGCTTCAGATACCAGATGCTCCCGATGCGTGTCTCTTCAGCGCTGTCCAGAAATCTCAGGAAGTTGTACATACCGTAAGGAGATAGCCACCCATATTTTATACCCTGTTCAGAGTTACGGCTTGGGAAAATACAGTTATTTTAACCCAGCTGTAAACTCTGTTTGGGTCATTCTGCAGTTTCAGCATCGAGAGACTTCTTCCTTCGGAAGAATGTTTTCCTCTTATCAGCACCATACACACTAGCCATTTTTCCCAGACCGATACAGTTTATCTTACTACCAGAAGATGTATTTGGTAATTTATGAGCCTAGAATCTAGAAACTAAAATGTGGTTTAAAAAAAGCGAAGGAGGTCAGTCTGAAAGGCTACCTACTGTAGGACTCCAACTATCTGACATTCTGGAAAAGGCAGATTTAGAGACAGTAAAAAGATCAGTGGTGGCCAGAGTTACTGGGGAACGAGGAGGAATAAATAGAGGGAGCACAGGGGATTTTCGGGCAGTGAAACTATGACTCTGTATGATACTGTAATGGTGGACACGTGGCCTTATACTTTTATCAAAGCCCACAGAATACAAAACACAGAATGAACGCTGACTTAAACTATGGATTTGAGTTAATAACAATGTACTAATATTGGGTCCATCAATTATAAACCTGTGTACCACACTGAGATGTTAAAAGTAGGGGTGCGGGGTGAAGATTTATGTGGGAACTGTCTTTGCTTTTTACTCAGTTTTTTTTGAAAACCTAACACTGCTCGAAAAAGTGTCACTGAACAAACAAGGAGTTCAGCCTCATGGCATCTCTGTGGAGGTGGGGGAAGTGGTGGATGATGATGTCATTCTACTGAAGTCCTCTGCAGTACCCAGCAGGTAGCCTCCAGCAATTTCATTTGAAAATAGTTATCAGTACATTAAATCTTACCTTTCTAGTGGTCGTTGCTATTACTAGTCTCTTTATTTAAAAACAAACCAAAAAGAAGAAGCATATAAAATTAGCTTACTCTCTTCTCAAGAAGTTCCTGTTTTTCTGTCAGAGATTCTGTTACACCCCTTCCACATTCCACACCGTTGGCAAGTTTTGCCACACGGCCAAGGTCTGCCTACTCTACCTTCCAGGTGTCTTGGCCAGACAGAAAGTTGGCGCTTGCTACCTCTTTTTAGGTCTGTACTGACCAGTGAAGTCACTGGCCCTGGACAAAGTCACAGGCTGAGTTCTGTAGGAACGCAGCGTATTCCTCTCTGTGGTGTGGGAAGGGGGGCGGGTGGATAATAACCACAATGAATATCTACACTCTGTAGAAAATGGCACTAGGAACAGCTCAGAGAGTGATGAGTAGTTGTGACTGGCCGAAGGAAAGCCCACACTTACCTGTTTACAAATCAAAGAAAGAGGTGTACTGGATGCTACACTTGACAGCGTATAAAATGCACTTCCCTCTGGAGGGGCAAAAAGGTGTCCAACAATGATCTTGCATTCGATTTGCCTCGAACACCCAGATGTATCCGGTGACGGACAAGAAAGTGAACTGACATAGAGGCCGAGGACGTTCATAGTATGTCATGATGTCAGGGATGTCAGTACCCTCATGAGCGAAATTAAGTTTCCTAGAGTAAAATCACACTCAAATACCAGCAGAATGAGCAAGATCTTCTCTAGGCCGACCATCGGATTCTCTCCAGTAATATTTTCCTGGACGTGATTTTCCACACAGAACTCTGATGAGGATGGAGGAAGTGTTGTTAGCTCATTGGTGGCCACCCCGCTCAGCATTCGGTGTCTGCCTGCTACCAAAACATGTGTGGAGGGAGCACAATAATTCACCTCTACGGCACCCGAAAGATGAGGAATACAAGCCAGTCATCCCTGATTTTGTCTGATAATTCCATGGTTTTAGTTATTTAAAACCTCACATGTTAATGGAGCTATGAGGAAAGAGGGAGGGGAAAAAAAAATCTTAAGAAATATATGGTCCTGTATTTTAATTTAACTCTGGAAGAGAGAAGAGACTTTTTGCCCCGAAATTCCTTTTTCTTTCTGTTCACGATAAAGTGGAACTTCTGGGCAGAATAAGAATCAGTCAAGGTGAGGAGAAAATCAGCAGAGGGCTGAAGGACCGGTGCCAAGAGCTGAGGTTCTCTACCTCCGGATGGGCTAGCAAGCACTCCATCACTTGCCTTAATGAGATACAAAACTCTTCTTGGCGGTCCCTAAGGACATTTGTGTCTAAGGTTGCATCTGGGAAGTCACTTTGTCAACCTTGTCTTGTGTCTCTTCCCCTTGCAGGGCGACAGGCTTTGGCTTCTTGAATGCCCTGTGCAAAGCAGCGGCCGTCCTTGGAAACTTAATATTCGGCTCCCTGGTCAGCTTCACCAAATCGATCCCCATTCTGCTGGCCTCCACCGTGCTGGTGTGTGGAGGACTGGTGGGCTTGCGCCTGCCCGACACACGAACCCAAGTCCTGATGTGATGGGGAACAAGCCATCCGTAATACTGCATTTCTTTCTCCTGCCCTGTGTCGACCCTCCGGACTGACTCAAGGCTTCAGTTTGTTTGGTGTTTTTTTTCAGATCTCAAAAGGTGGTAAAATAGCAGAACACTAACTCTTGCCGTGACTGAAATGTAGATGCATACCATCCTGCCCCTTAGATGTGAGTGTGCAGTGTTTTTCAGGCCTTGTTCCCCTTCCGAACTGGGCTCCTCCCAGCTCCCAACAGTCAGTCAGCGGAAGCGTTGTTGAAGTGTCCTCGGCAGCCGGGCCTCCCTGAGATCCTGCTCCCTGAAGGTTGAGGAGCCTATGCTGCCCTAAGAAATAGATCCTGCCTCTGATTTCACATTCATGGGAAATATAAGTTGGCATATTATTGCATTTGTGCTGAGGAGAGGGATTCTTCTTTTTTTTTTTTTTTCAAACAGAGTGATATTTCCTGTTTACTTAGAAAAGGACACCCAGCTTAATTCTTGCTGTTACAGCAGGGCCTTTCAAAGAAAACCATGTGGCACCAAACAGAGCTGGGTGGGGCTCTTTTGAGGCCTGACAGGGAAGGTGGCTTTGCTGACAAGACAGATAAAGGCCATGCCCTGAGCAGCAAAGATCTGAGCGAGCGGCACACGCCAGATTTCTGCCCAGTTCCAGTCCTGAAAAATCTGAGGAGGGAGTCGTGCTGGCATCTGTGATGCTGGCCTGGGGGCCAGAATGTTAGAAGATCAGAGATCAGAAACAGGCTTCTGCCTCCGTTTACCCCCGTCTCCTCCCCGCCCCCACCCCAGCTACCCTTGATCTTGCCAGGGAGCAGGTTCCGAGCGAGAGAGCCGCTCTCCGAACCCTGGGTCTGCCTGCCTCATTCCGCCCTTCATCCGAACTGTGCTCAGTCTAGAGATGGTCGGTCATCTCCGTTGTTGTAAGCTGCAAATGAGGAAGAAGTCCACCTCTAGAGGCGTTTGGAAAGGCGAAGCGCTGCCTCGAGGGCACCACCTTCCTGGGGGACGGCGCCCCCGCGCCCTTGACGCTGGGCTTTCTAGCTGGTAGCGCTGAAGTGGGTCTTCTTCCTCTAGCTTCCACTGGGCCCTGCGCTCCCGGCTGCCGGCTGTGTGGAACCCCAGCGGCTTAGTCCAAGCAAGGGGCCCTCTGGCAGACAAGGTGGTTTGGGGCTGCTTGCTTTACCTCTGGAATCCTCCTGGACCTGGAAGACAGAGGTCAGCCGGACATTCCCACGGGCTGTCGGCTTTGCGACCTTCTCACCCCTCAGGCCTGCCCCTCCTCCAGGCTCATCCTTTTTATGCACCTTTGAAATCTGAAGCCTCCTTATAGACTTGCAGCAGTGACCAGCAGCCAGGAATAAATCCCATGTTAAAACAGTATTCCTGTTTTTAACTCCGTCTTGTCAAAGGGTTATCCTTGTTACTTATTATAGCATTTCCAGCAGGCCGCAGCCCCGGGTCCCCGGGAAGGGAGAGCCCTTGTTTCCAATAGCCATTCCCTTCAAAGCCCCGTCCTGACCCCGAAGGCCCTCTGCCTCCTTCTCCCCTTCCTAATGGTGCCCCTGGAGCTGCATGCAGAGTGCAGAGTTCTGACTCTGTGAAACATTTCTTTCATGAACATCGCCATGAATCGATCGCCCCTTGAAGTCATTCAGGTCTGTGAAGGGGCAGCCTGGTGTTGGAGGCTGGCAGGAAGAGGGTGGTTCCCTGGGGCGGTCGGCTCAGGGCCAGAACATCGGCCAAACTCCAACCCCAGGCTGCAAAGGTGGCAGGAGGAGGGAGAATCAGACAAGACTAGATGAGATCTCTTAGGCTGATGCCAGCAAAGCAGGGAAAGAAACGGAACTGCCTCTCACTTCTGCCTCTGTAGTATTACCGGAGAACAAAGCTAGCATTCACACAACCCGGGAAGGTACCTTGTATATTATTCCTCCACGTGGATTCATTTCCCTACCTACCTACCCCTTGGTTCATCTTCTTCAAAAAGGCGCATGTGGGGACCCGAGCAGGGCTGTTTTAGTTGAACACAGCATGTACAATCACAGCTACCAAAGCAGGATGTGTTTGTTCATCAGCCCATTCAGAAGCAAGAGAAATGTGCATGGATGTCGTTGTCTCTAGTCTTCTTAACTTTCTGAAAGTTAAGATAGTCCAGTAAGCAAAGTCCACTATCATAAATGTCTCACGTGTCTGTTGTAGCCCTAAATGTGTAGAAAGGCTCCCAAGCTGCAGAGCTTAGCAGATACAGAGTTTTATTTGAACATTGGCTGGGTCAGAATGAGATTAAATGAGCAGAACCCCACTTGGTGAGACCTGACACCATACATTCCCTTCACAAGGGCCTTTCTTGGCCCTCCCATCACCTGATCCAAGCCTCCCAGGTGGCCCAAGAGGGATCTATTCTAATCTCCTGGACAGTCTGTGGTCACAAACCTTCTTGGTCACCACCTTTTCCACCTTCCACGTAGTTTTCTCTGCCTCCTTTGCATTGTTCCCATCACCTTGATTTTCTCTGAGAGAGCTCAGGTTGTTCCCGAAGTATGTGGCAGGGCCTGTCTGGCTTGTTGTGGGGTTAGCTGGCTTAAGATAGAGCCGTGCGATTACGCAGGAGCTCAGCTCTGTCCGCGGAGCAGCCTGCCGGCGCCGGGACCTGCGACCAGCATCTCATTTCATCCACAAAAGAAGAAAAACGAGAGTATGTGCCAAAAGGGAAGCCTAGGAAACCGTTCCATTTGCTCCTGTATTTCTGACTCCTTCTCTATCCAAAATGTCCTCCTCGCTCTTTGGAATCAATCCAGAATGCCAAACCCAGAGGCCGGGGATCACCTTACACCCAGAGTAGTGATCCTGGGAGAGAAGATAGATGGGCCCTAGCCGCCTCCTTAATGCTGGACTCATCTTCGCAAGCACCAAATAGGTTTAGTCTAGGAACAGACAAATTAGCAAGTAGGCAGGTTGTTTGGGAAGCCCCTAGGAATAGGCCAGAAAACATAGTTCCGATGTTGTGTGTGCTGCCCGCTTCTTAGGATCCTGAACATTATCTCCACTCAGTGCTGGTTTGACAGTTATCATTGCCTGCTCGGGAAAGGGACCCACCCCGCCACATGGACACGGTTAGAAGACTCTCTGGTCACCATGCTGTCACCAAGGCTGTGTCCTGTAGCTGTCCTGACTCTTTTCTCCCTTTTGTTCTTGAAATAGGAAGACCTAGGGCTGCAGAAACTGAGTCTTGATACCACCTAAGTTGGCAAAGGCACCTTCATTTACAAATTTACTCACCAAAGCAGACTGCAGGTGTGCACCAAAACCTGCTTCGCTGCTTCTCTGCATGTCTTTAGATATCATGGGAGAGGTGGGGAAAGCAATGTAGTGTCAGAGAGAGTCCAAGCTACCGCAGAGAAGGTTCCAGTGAAGGGCACACTGGAGCCTTTCTAAACCCTGGGATCATTTCAGAGTCACTTCGCGGGCATACCTTTTGATTCCCTCTGCCAACCAAAATAGAATATGACGGTCTCCAGTCTTTTCTATTTAATATCAAAATGGCCCTTATCTCTTTCTTCATCTGTTCAGTGCACTAAAGGCTCTGAAGTCGGAAATGTCTGAAGTTGGCTTTTACCTGGTATCCTAGTAAGACAAGTGGTTGGTTGTTAAGGTGCACACTGGCTGTATATTTGGTTTCCCTCTAACCCCCATGTCATGCTGACCTTGGGTCAGTGACCAAAGCTACAGAAACACAAGTTATGTGGCAACAACAGAAAGAACTCTACACCCCAGGGCACTCAGATGAACTATACATTTCTTACGGTTTTCGCTTCTGCCAAACAATGTATGTTTTGAGAAAAGCTTTCCTCGCAGTGTGTAGGACATAGACAAAAGAAAATTCTCATTGTCCCCTAGCCGTGCGCGTCCGTTCATTGTCCCCGGTACGGAGTGCCAGTTCTGCGTGTGACATTCTCTTGCCCCATCCCTCCTATCAGCAGCGTCCCACCCACCAGACACAGCTTTGCCAGAGCTTTCGTGGCTCTTTCTCCAACAATACCTAGGTCTCAGTAATCCCAGGCTTCTGAGTTACAAGGATACAGTTCGTGGATCCGTCTAGGCCCTTGTTTAAGGCCGGCGAGGCCGGGTGGGGCAAAGAGGGGGCCAGAGCGTTGCCTGATCTCTTGTCCTTTCATGTGATTATGCAGTACATACTGATGGAGCTCTTCCCTGTGCTGGCTTGAAAGCCACCAGTGAACGCTTTGCAGGACTTGAGTGAAGGCAGAGGAAATGGGCATGAAAGAGAAAACAGCGGTAATGGGGTCTCACATGGAAGCCCCCGCCCTAAAAGCACCAAATGTTGTTTTCCCAAATTTAAAAGAAGCCCTAGCCTACGGTGGGCAGTCGAGAAACAACTCAGGCATTGGGACTAGTGACGGGAGGAGAAGGCCCCTCAGTTTCTCGGCCTTCGTTGGAGGGACTGCTAACTAATCCTTGGGAAATGAGAGAGGAAGGCACACATGCTGTTGCTGTGAATGCCTCGGCATGAAGTCGCCCTGAGGTATTACTCAAGGAAAGGTAGCAGCCGCAAGGATAGCCCCTTCTCGGTAGAGACGCTGGCTTTTAAAGTCCCGGAGTTCTTTCCGTGGTGGCCCGAGAGGAGAGGTGGGGGCTGGGAAGTCTGGCCCAGAGCGGAGTCAGCGCCCCGCCTCAGCGGCGGCCCCGTCCCCTGGCCTCAGCTTCCAGAGCTGTTTCCTTTCTGATTCTGAAGACTGGCGTCCACTGTCTTTGCAGATAGGCTGGAGACGCTTTGCCCCCTCTCTCCTCGGCAGATAAGCTCCCCAGAAAACAGGTTCTGGCCGTTAGTGGCCTGAGCTTTTCGGATTTCAGTTCAAAACCAGTGCAGAGCTGTTGCAAAGTGTCTTGAAGCCCCAAGGGCCTTTGGGGCTCTGGGGCCTGAGGGGAAGCAGAGCAGAGAGAGTAATTGGTGCGGACCCCCCTCCCCTCTGGGAGCCCCGATTTCCTCTTTCACCCACAAACCCTCTCCTCCTTAGCTCCCTGTGGCGGTACACACTCACTTCCTTTCTTTCCCATCTATTCTTCTTCCTCCTTGCCTCCTCTGGTCACCTCTTGACTCCAGCCGCGTACAGAGGCCAGGCCAAGCTTTCCTGGCACACTTGGGACTGAAGGGTGCGCCCATCCATGCCTCTGGTGGAGGCCCAAAGGGTGAAGAAGGTGTTGAATGGCAGTGGGTGCGGGGAGTCTAAGCTCCAGACTGTAGGGGTTGACACAGTTCCCTGAACCAGAGATTTCTGGCTGCTTCTCTCTCCCGTGCATGATGAGATGGCCACCGTTGGCATGGGATCCGAGAGAGGCCCATTTCTGGGGCAGAAATCTGAGACCTTAGCATTGGACTCCCAAAAGAAAGACGAGGTAGCCCGCAGCAAGGCTCTCGGAATTCATCGATCCCTGGGAGGTAGAGGCTCTGCTCGGTGCCAAAGGCTGGGGGCTTCCTATTCTGACTTAAATGCTGACATTGCAGAGGCTGCCCACTCTCTGCCTATACCCTGCCAGTCAGGCTCCCCTTAGAGCCAAGAGTGGCCAAAACTAGGAGGAGGAGAAAGCAGCCCTCGGCCCTCTGTTCAGACTCCTGCAGGGCTTAACACCAGCCTAGCAGCCCACCCTAGAAGCCGGGGTGTAGAGTGACTGGCGGAGCCTGCTCACGGGGACGGGGGCCCCAGAAGCCAGTGACGTGCGGGAGCAGACTCAAACCCGTTCCTCAGAGCTAGTCCTTTTGGGCATTTTGTGAGCTAGTTGGGAAACACAGCCATTATACTAAAAGTTAGATTATGTAAACTTACAATAATAAATATGCAAAAGTCATCGCTTTCTAATTATTTTACCGCACGTTAGCATCATCCGTGCCCTTGGGGTGATGGACACGTGTGGTCTCTGGATGGTAGAGATGCTGTAAATGTTGTGCTAGTGCACACATCTTCCCAACTCCACGTTCAGTGACGTCACATTCATAGCTTGGAATCAGCTGGTGGGCGTGGAGGGGAGGATTTACACCGTGGAAATCTACCAAGGCTGCCGAGTGGACTCTTAGCCCCAAAGCCCTGACCGCTGTGTGGCCTCCCACTGCACGGACCCAGGCCACACCAAATTGAGTCCTGTAGGTTTGTGGGTCAGCATCGCCCACATGCCCGAGGGAAGGAAAGACAACAAGGCAGCCTCACGTCAGTACACGAAGGGTTTCTTTCTGCATTTGTATTGACTCAGAACAGGACCCACCGTGAGGAGAATCTGCCACTTTCTATGGGTATTGCTCCTTCGGGGAGAATGTGCAGTAAATTGACTAATGTGTGCTGTGCAAACAAAAATAAGCTCGTTTCAACCTATGAAGTGTCTCCCCTCCCACGCCCAAGTAGGTGTCCAAGAAGGAAACTCCTTCCTTGCCTTTGACATTCACCGGGCCTGCCTGGATAGAACTGGACCGATTTGCTTAATCTCACTTCCACCACTGTTGTTAGACATTTATTGTGCCAAATCTATGTCCTGAATCAAACAGAGGAAAAAAGAAATGTTCTTTCTTGATAATGTGCTTTTATAACATCTAAAAAGTGGTTATGTATCCTCGACCTGACCGGGGAACATATTGAATAGATCATGTGTCCTTC